CCCCAAAACCCCAAAACCCCAAAACCCCAAAACCCCTACTCTTGAGCATAAAATTGAAATAAAAACTACTAAAATAGCCTTGTAACGTCTTGGCTCTCGATTCCCTTCTGAACCAGTTCTTTATCAATAGATATCACAACAAACATGATGTTGGAATAATATTACCCCACTATCACCTCATCTTCTTTAAATCCTTGAGCCACCCTAAAATTGTTATCTTCTTTTGCTTTATTCTTTATTGGTGATTAGAGTCTTCTAATTACCTATAAATCCTACCTAAAGACTTCTTCTGTGGTAAAAGAGCTGGGTATACTATACGCAGGCTCTTTGGCAATTTTACAGCACAAATCACCCATATAACAATATTTGAAAAATCCCAGTGCCATTATAATTCTCGAGAATTGTCACGATATTAACAGTCGTAACCTCAATTTCCAGTTAAGACAAAAATTTCCGTACGCGTTTTGGTGGAGCAGGCTGACTTCCAAATTTTAGGTGAATAGTGACACCTAACAAGCATTGAGCTCTTGTTCACATCTCGTTATTAACTGAGACTAGCCTTGAGCAATTCTTCACCAAAAACCTTTTAATGAAGTTGTTTTAACACATAAATGGAATGAACAAATATGATTTTATGGGTAATATTTTATGTCAAAATTTAGAAATTAATCCTTTATAAAGGCTTTAAGACCTTCATTGTTATATTTTTAGACAGAGGTAAGGCTCTTTAGATATTTTAGGATCTCCTTTGTAGCCCTCTAGGCCATCTAAAGTCTTTGATATTTTCTTTCTTATCCTAGCTGCACGCTTGAGAAGGTTACTGATGTCTTCTTTTAATGACGCACTTGGCTTCTTATCCTTAATGCCAAAGATACCAAGGCTTGTTCTTCTCTTACTATTAAATTGGCTTAACTTTGGCTTCATTATTTTCATTCAGGGTACTTTCTCAAACTTTTCCTCCTTGAGGGAGGAAGGATGTAGTGAATTATCGCTCATGCAGGAATTATTTCTTTTCTTTTTACTGCTAAGCGAATTCCCACTCATGTTGGAAAGAATCTTTTCAGACCCTCTAACTTGTCACGATCATACCTCTTCGCTAAGAAATTCATCAGAGATATTTTCATCATCCTGAGATTTATGTAAAGCTTCCATATTTAACTATATTTATTAATTGCATTTCTACTGTACTTTAATATAACGGGGTTTTGGGGTTTTGGGGTTTTGGGGTTTTGGGG